CACCCCAGTTCAGCCCTTTCCCCCTCGCTGCCGGAGAGCTGGGGTTCACAAGCCCCCAAGCTGGAGCTGGGAGGAGGCCAGGGAGGGATCAGTGTCGGGCTGCCAGGGTCAGGGTTGCCCTTGGATGCACCCTTAAAACATGTGCCGGATGACAAGGCAGTCAGTGCTTGCCCCCACACTCCTTGCACACCGCTGCCTGCCTCTGCCCGCAGCTTGCCAGCCCTGTGCTTTCGCCTGCACACTTCGGGCTTTCTGAAGAAGCACCTAACCTTGCACTGGGCACTTACATGACCATATCACCGAGCAGGGGGTGTATAGGACATACAGCCACAAGCACCTACTCACCCTGCAGTATCGGTGTCCACAGGGTGCCCCAGCTGACAGCCTTTCCCTTTGCCAGGAGGAAGAGCTTGTCCGCGAGAGCCACTTCTATTTGCGAGGCTACGGGCTGGGTCACTGCCTGCAACCGAAGGACAGAGCTGGGGGGGGCCCTGGCATCTACAGCCCCACCCCAGCCAGCATGCTGCTGCGGGAAGGGGAGAGCCTCCGCAGGTGCTACGTTGACCGGGCCAAGCGCATCGACACCATCTCCCGAGCTGTCTTCCCCTTCACCTTCCTGGTCTTCAATATCTTCTACTGGGTTGTCTACAAAGTGCTGCGCTCAGAGGACATCCACTCATTGCCCTGAGGCCCAGAAAAGCGTGACTGCCTCTCAGTCTGACCCCCCTCCCAGTGCGCCCGGCCGCCATGAGCTCAGCCAGAACCATGTTCCCCTGTCCTGGAGCAGCGGCACTGCCAGGCTGGGCCTTGGAGCCTGGACATGTGGTAGCCCCCACGTCCCTTCGGATGCCGGGGAGCCCCAGTACCTTGGGGTGCTGCACAGCTGGTGGCTGGGGAACATCACCTTCTAGTCAAACACCCTCCACCTCTCCGCACCTTTCATGTCAAGGCTGCTGCTTCTCTAGGCTGCATCACTGAGCTGTGGGCCATGAGCAGCCAGGTGAGAGGCTGCAGTCCTCTCTCCTCCCCTGGCCCAGAGCTCGGTTGCAGGAAACAGCAGGCAGCACCCCTGCCTGTGCCCGGACTGTGTGGGGTGCTGGCTACGGCCCCCATAGCCCCCAGCAACAGACAGGGCCCCTCCGGCCCCCAGCCAGCTCCAACACACAGCAAAGCAGCGGCTCGGGGATGCTTCCTTCCCTGCAGAGCCCAGAGTTGCCCATGATGCCCATGGCCGCAGGAAGGACTGTGGCAGGGACACGGGGCAGGAGGCTCCATTTCCTCTGAGGAAACACTAGCCCTGGGGCAGGCAGCAGGCAAGCCCAGTCCCACTGAAGGTGAAGGGGCGCAGACGGCCACTGCAGCCGCAGACAGGAGCCGCTTGGCACCGGGGAGCTGGCACTGCACTACCTGCAGGGTAGGGCCCACAGCCCATCTTCTGAGGGAGATTTTCAGGATGAAAGCAGTGGGGTGCAGCTTGGCTGATCCCTTTGGAGGAGTAGAGTGAGTGGTGGCATCCCCAGACTGCTGCATTCCCATGGCACCACAGTGCCAGCAGAGAGCCGGAGGTGAAAACCGCTCTGTTCGCCAGCTTTCTCCCGACCCTGTCGCCCAGGCGCGGTGTCCCCTGGGCGGGTTCATCCCTGCTGCTCCTCCACCAGAGAGGAGAGCATCCGAAACCTCAACAGGACAAGCTCGGCAAGGCTTCCAGCCCTCCAGACCTGGATATCCTCCATGCTTAGCAGGAAATAAAAGCAGTAGGTGATGTTTATGTAGGTCCTACAGAGAGAAACGTGTTGATGCTCTCCTTTCCCCCTGTCACAGCCAGCCCGGGAAGGGCTCACAGCCCGGTGGGGTCTGTCCCCCCATGGCCCTGCAGGAGAGGGTCCAGGGTCTTCCAGGCAGGGCAGCATGGAAACGGGATTCACCCTTTTCCTTGGAGGCTGTGGTGCCACCATGGCACAGTGAGGGCCCTGGTGACCCACTTGTCATGGCAAAAGGGACCCTGCAGGGCAGGGGGACATGGGCGGGAGGCCAGCACTGCCTGCTGAAGCCAGACCCGGGCAGAAACTCCCACCATGGCCCCTGGCCCCACTCCTCAGGCAGGCATCACCCTCTCCCTCACACGACTCACCGGGAGCAAAGCCCCACACCCCCCACACTTTCTGCCCAGCCCCCCGAACCTCACAGAGCACTCAGCCACACGCACCCATTTCACAGACAGGGCAAGCAGAAGAGAACAGGCCCCAGGCCATGCCCGGGACCCACCAGGACAGGCCGAGCCAGCTCCATTCCACCACCATGCATGCCTTCCCCTCTGTGGGTGTCCCCACAGAGCCCCACCGTGTGTCCAGACCAGGCTTTCGAGACTTGTTTTTGGGGAGGCCCTGTTTGGATACAGAGGAAGGGGTGCACCTTGTCTCCTCGGTTCACCCGGCCCCCCAAGGCAGCGCCAAATGGGGGGATGCCAGTGCCCGGGCAGCACCCGCAGGTGCTGGGTAGCCAAGCCTCCCTCTAGCAGCAGTGGGTTTTTAATCTTACTACGCAAATAAAACCTTTCTGGGATTTTCAGTGGTGCGCTGGGGGTTTGTCTCTGCCAATGACCCTTCAGCCAGCTCCAGCCACTGGCGGGGCCCCCCACGTGTGGGAGGGACGTGGGGACGAGGGCACAACAGCCCTGTGAGGACAGGAGCCCCGAGCTGCAATTACACCCAGATATCGTTACCTCCACGGGTGATTTTTCTGACATAATTGGTGGTGATGGGTTTTATCTGCTGTGTGGGAGATGCCAGCAGGGCCGGGTGGGAGCCCCCTGCGAGCTCCTAACCCCAAACCCCATCACTCTCCTCCCCCCCCAGCTCTGTGGGGTGCTTCCTGTGGTCACCCCAGCTCCTTTCCACCTCATCCAGGCTTGGCCAGGGGACAGGACCTAAGACAGGGCAGCTGTGGGGCTGGGGCGGGGGGGCTCCAGCTCTGCAGTGGAGCTCAGACACCCAAACATGGGCGAGCATCCTGACGGGTGAGCCTCCCTGCACGGCCCCTTCACGCTGGCTTGCTGGGCGGGCGCCAGCCTTACAGAGCTGCCAGCTGTCCCGGGGGGCTTACACCAGCCCTGCAGTGCCATCCGGGGCCGGTGCTTTTGTCCCCAGCTGCCATGGGGGCAGGGAGAGCCCGCAGCTGAGGGCTGAGCGCCCAAGCAAACATCAATCTCCCTCTGTCCTCCCGGCCAAGTTTCACAGACTGGCTCTGTTGGTACCTCGCAGCCCTATCACCCGCCCAGCCCCATCGGGATCTTCTGTGGCAGGGAGGAGAGAAGGTGAGGTGCACTCACTCACTCAACTGGGGTTGTTCTTTAGATGGGACAAGCCAAACCCCGCTGAGGTCTTGCTCCTGCCCCCACCCCAAACCAAGAGAGGACATGGCCAAGGGGAGAGCCGGGAGCCATTTCATGCCAATGCAGTGCACCTGGTTTCTTCACTCCCTGCTCTCTCTCCTTTCTCTCCCGTGCCGAACATCAGGTCTGGGCACCTGGCATCTGTTTGGAGGTAAACACTGTAGTCAGCCCTAAGCCACCCAGCTGCGGGAACTGGCGTGTCCCAGAAAAATGAAAATGGTAAAAACCCAACACATCCTTCCTAAGCTAAAGCCCCTGGGTCCCACACGCTGGTTGCAGCAAGGCGGGGAGGGGGCCTTGCTGCTGGCACTGCAATAGCAAAGGCATGAGGGGAGCACTGCCCCACAGCCCTTTGCGGTTCGGGTGTCTCGAGGAGCAGTTTCGGGGTGAGGAGCAGCACTCAGCCCCCACCCCTGGTCCTCCCAGGCTGGACTGGGAGCCGCTGGGACACCCACACAGCTGCAGGGCTGTCACTGCCCTCCAGCACACAGCTCCAACGAGTCCCTCACATCTTGGGGACAGCAGCAGCGCCCAGGCTGGGGGTGCTGAGCCCCACGCCCTTCCACAGGTCACAGCATGGCCAGGAGCCAGCTCAGGTGGCTCCATCCCCCAGCAAAGCCCATGGCCTTTGGACAGAGTCAATTTTCCACTTCCCGCCTGAGGCTGTGCACTGGGGGACGCATCCCAGCCACCATGGGAAGCAGCGGTGGGCACGGGACCAACAGCCATAGCCAAGTCAATTGCTGGTTTAAATGGAAGTTAATGGAGTTACACTGGGTTAACAGGACTCCCAGACAGTAAAACGAGCATCATCATCACTGGCAGCTTCCCAACAGCCTGCCAACAGCATGCCCAGGGCCAGGTGGCCACAGGCGCACACAGATTTGGGGCAGCACAGCCCCTCACCAGCCCCAGGGTCTCCCTGAGGCACCTGCATGGGGTTGAGGAAACGTGCCCTTGGCTGGGCACTGTGACAGCACACCAGCCAGGCCCCTGCTCCGCCGACCGTAGAGGGCCTGATCCTGCTGGAGCCGAGCTCTGCCACTGCACATGGCAGAATTGGGGTACCAAACTTTCCCTTCCTCTTCCCCTCCCTCACCAGGGCCTCCTGCCTGCACCCACAGCCTGGAGCTGCCTTGGGGCAACATCAACTGCCAGAGGTTTAGCAAACCACCCTGTCCGGATGGACCAATGCCCACAGGACAGCATGTCCCATGCTGTTTGGGACACCAGGTTCAGAGCCAGGCGAGTTCAATGCAGCAAGAACAGGTGACAGCCCTGCCGGGGCTCTGAGCACTCAGCGCCTTTTGCACATTGCCTGGGCACAGATTATTTTTTTTAATAAAATATCAAGCTCCAAAGTCAGCCAGCCAGTCCTGAGTGGGCCAGGGCTGCTCCCTACAGATGGGGAAACTGAAGCACGAGGAGAGCTCCAGGAGCTGGACGGGCAGCGTGCCCTGCTGGGATCCAGCCACGCCACAGTGCACGGGGCCTTTGCAGGACCGCAGACCCACTGCGGCCGGCCCCATTGGGGCAGGATCGCTCCACCACAGGGAAGGTCCAGGTGCCGGGCGCTCATGCAGCATGGCTGTGCCGGCACCCCAGCCCTCAGCACAGCTCTGCCAGTGCTGCCCTCCGGACAGAGGAGCCCCAGGAGCCAAGTGGCACTTTGGCCCCCAGCATGCCCCTGCCATCTAAGCTGCAGCATCACACCACAGCCCGTCACCTCTGCCCACTCAGAGGGGTTTTGCCAGTGCCCTGCCAAACCCCACAGCCACATCCACCCCCCCGGCATCACTTTGGGACCAGCCTGCACCGCTCAGGGGAAGCCAGCCAGCACATGCAGGCCATGGGGCACCCCATGTGCTCCCCAGCCCAAGGGGTGTGGGTGTGCCAGGTACTCCTGGGGGCAGGCAGGACACCTGGGAGGGGGCAGTGAGGGAGGGCTGGAGCCCGGAGACAAGCAGGGATCAGCCCTGCAGCGCTCCCAGGCTCTGGGAATACGGGTAACTGCCTAGGCTGTGGTTTTGCACAAGAAAAAACAAAGCGATGAGGTTTTCCAGCCCTCAAAGCAGCTTGTTTTGTCTGACTTTGAGAAGCCTCTGCGCTTCAGCCCCTCAAGGGGCAGGGGAAGGACCCTGGCACTGAAACAAGGAGCAATTATCAAACCACGGGCTCTGAAGAGCTTTTGTTCCCTGGATGCACCAGAGCAGAGATCGGAGGACACCTAGCGAGATGCCTCAACGGCCCTGTGCACCAGTGGCACCCAGAACCCAACACCATAGCGGCCCCGGCCC